ACTCCCTCCAGCACCAGCATCCCTGGCTGAAGGGGTCCTGCATCCTTCCAGCCACTCCCTCCAGCACCAGCAGCCCTGGCTGAAGGGGTCCTGCATCCCTCCAGCACCAGCATCCCTGGCTGAAGGGGTCCTGCATCCTTCCAGCCACTCCCTCCAGCACCAGCAGCCCTGGCTGAAGGGGTCCTGCATCCTTCCAGCCACTCCCTCCAGCACCATTTCCCACCTTGGAGGGGGAGGAGGGACACCCCATCCCACCTGGCCTCTCCCCACAGCCCTGAGAGGCCAGAGCCCTGGGCAGAGAGCTGTGCTGACAGCTGGAGGGAGTGCCCAAGGGCCTTGATCTAGATCTTTGCTCTATCAGAAAGACCTTTGCTCTTCACAGGTTCAAAATGCTCTATGAATTTTGGACATTACGCTAGGTCTGGAGTAATCTGAGCCTCAGCCAACACTCTTTTCCTCTTCCATTAGTCTAGTTGAGGTTCACTGCCCTCAAATGATAACCACAGTCAGCTGCAACACACTTGCAAAAGCTTTTTTTGCATACAACATGTTGTGGCAAACTGCTGGAGCTCTTCATTTCCCAGCTCAGCCCCCCTGCAACAGCTGCCATCCCAGCTTTCCCCCAGTGCTGTCATTCCCTGGTTCTGAAGAGCCAGTCTTAGCACCACAAAAACACAGCTTTTGGGTTTTTTTTCTGATTTAGTGTCCCCCTTAGCATGCAAAGTTGTCATTTGTTGCTAGTCCCATTGATCCTTGTGTTTATATTGCAGACGTGCAAGTTTACGTATCTTTTAATCTCTCCTTTGTATTATAACAACATAAATCTGTGGTTAATAGTTGATTAATTTCCTAAGGGAGGCAACTTCCAGCATGTGTTGGGAAAGCTGATGACCCCACTGCTGTCGTGGGCTGGGTGAGTGATTGGCTTTATTGCTTGGGCAATAAAACAAAACCAAGCAAAATGTGTATGTCTGTACAGACGTTTTGGGTAGAACCAGAAATACTCTTTTTTTCCCCTGTTTTTTCCTCACTGAAACAAAAAGGCTGGGTTGATTCATTTGGTTTGAGACAAGATGAAATGCTCTCTTTTGGACACGTGTATGTGGAGCAAAGAAAATGACTGACTGTATGGAACTGAGTGATGAGAAGCAAGCAGCATCCTATTTTGTCCAGGAGTGAGGACTGACACAGAACAGGTAGGAGACCAAGAGAAGATTTAAACTGGAGTATCAGCTCTCCAGCATAATGCCCTGACTACCAGACTATTTGGTGTTTTAGGTTGCCATGTTCCTCATGCCTCCTGTTGATCTTATTCCACATGGTTTAGATAAATATTGACTCATACCAGGACTGAGGCACCGTGTTCCCATTTTCCAGGTGAAAGTCCTACCAACCATGCTGCTGAGCCTTTCTCATGGAAATCCTCTTCTGACAGCTATGAGATTATCCTATACCAACTGAAAGCTTCTAATCAGGTGGTCTGAAGGAGCCTCGACCCATCCAGGAGGTTAGGAGATTTTTTTAAGGGGTCAGGTCTCTGGCTCACCCAGACTCTGGGACATACTGTATGGAGGTTGATCCCCTGTAGCCTGCATGAGTGTCCTACCCATCTGCTGCCCAAAAAGGAGCAAAGAACAGCACCTCTGACCACCTCACAAACAAAAGCAAACGCAGGAGGAGCTATTCAAATAATTCAGCTCAAGATTGCCAGGCATTTTGGGGGTAGAGCTGCATTTTCCTGACAGCTCCCCACTGCTGAGGCCGTTTCAGTCAGCTCTTTCACTGCCCACTGTAGAGACAGTCCTGAACCCCTCCTCTAGGTGAACTCACAAGGGAAGCAAGCCCTAGTTTTGCCTACAAGACAACTGTCCAAAGTTATTCTGTGGTGCATGGTTACAGTCCTTCTGAGCAAGCTCCAAAACCAAGCTCCAAAACCAAGATCCAAAACCAAGCTCCAAAACCAAGCCAAAGGGCACAGCAGAGTCTTCTGAAGGAAGAGCTCTCCTGGTGCTTCTGAGCCTTTACTGACAAGGAGCAAGTCCTGCCATCAAAAGCAGATTTTTACAGCAGTTTTCATACCACCTTTTATCCTAATAGGGGAATAAAGTCCTCTTGGTCATCACACTAGTTGGAGCCCCTGCATGGAAATGGAAGGGGGGACACTGCAGAGCATGCCCCTTGTCTAGCAGCTTCTGCAGAGCTTTTCTCTGTGCAACAAAAGGAGAGCAGGTACACAGGCAGATGCAGGCTGGCCAAAACCTTCTGATCTTTTTATGGAGCTGTAAGGCAACTGCATGTATCATGCAGCTAGACCTTTCCCATGTTAGTAACAAAGGACACCCCCTTCTTCTACCACTTAGGAGAAGAGAAATAGGCCTAAATCCCAGATCCAGATGTGAATTTGGCAAACAGCCCCTTTGCAAAGGAACAATGAAATATCCCTGATAGAAACACTTCTACATTTTGGGACGTTCGAAATCAACTTTGCACCCACAGCAATTCATAATCATACCTTTTAAATGTTTAAACTTTAAGTTAGAACATAAAATCAACGTTTAAGTGTCTTGCTAATTTGTCTCAAAATTGGCATCATATCAGATTCCCTTAAAGCAATGGATTGGCTCAAAGACATTACTGAGAGTAATTGCTGCCCTTCTCTTTTTCTGCCCTCCTCTCTTTTATTTTGAAAGAGATAAAGAAAGGTAGGATAAAAAAATGAATATTACTGACACAAATGAATTCTGCTGAATTACATTTCCACCAGATTTCTACATCACTGGGAGCTCTTTTGTCAGCCTCCCATAAGGAGCATAGTAAATTGCTCTGGTTCCAACAGAGGGATTAATTTTCTGTTTCATTTAGCAACAACATTGCTGTGAATTTCAGACAACGGATTCTAAAACCTCACTGGATTCCTCTACCTAATGTCAACTTGTTGACATGACCCAGACAAGCTTATTCTCCTTGTGCAAAGCCATGGGCTGCTCTAAGAATGAATGCAAACCTTCGGGTTACTGATGGATCAGCTCAAATGGAGAAAAAAAAAACACCCTGATGAAGTAGAGTCTCTTTTCCTCAGCATGTGGTCAGATTACAGGCTGCCCTGCCCCAAAACGCTGACATCCCTTCACTCCTGACAACTTCCATGACCCCTGTTGAGTGCTCAGCTTCTCTTATGGGATCTAAGCCCATAAGAAATTATTTCACTTCCTTCACAGCTAGGGACTGTGTTCCCAAATGGGGCAACAGGAGCCAATCTTATGAGCCACTGCTTTCTGCTGTCAACCTCTAGTGTTCTCCATCCCCGTGCCATCAAACTGCTGATGCTTGAGCAGAGCTGGGAGCCCAAGGACCATGGACATGGGAAGTCCTGGCAACTGCTCACCTGCAAATCCCACCCTCATTCACACACTTAGGGGGCTGGGGTGCAGGAGTGGGGGATCACCAACCCTTCACAAGCTGGGGGGAGAGTCAGGGGGTGTCTCTGTGCCTGAGCACTCCCTCAGTCTCCCTGCTCCAGCATTCCACAACCTTTCTCCATCACCTCCCCTCCGTGAAATGTTTCACAAGAGGTAATTTGCAAGTGCCTTGCATACACAGGGATGTCTGCTCAAATCGTGGTGGGGAAAAGGCTGTGCTGCTGCTCTGCTGCCTGCTGGATAGGCACAGCCAGGTTCCCCTGCTCCCTGGGCAGGAGTTCTCTCCCTGCCTCACCTTCCACGGAAAAATCCAGGGGAACTGAGGTCCTGGCCCTGGGGGCTGCCTCCCTTCCTGCTGTTCAGAGCACTCTCAGGCTCCCTGGGCATTGCTCTCAGCTGCTAACAGCTCTCAGCTGGTCTTTTGGCTCATGAGCTGTGTGCCCACCCTGCTCTGCCCTTCTACCCACTCAAATTCACCAGGAAAAATCATATTACAAGCAGTACTATTAAAATTATAACAGAGGGATTATTAATAAGAGGTTTGATACACTCTTAAGGAGGGCTACAGAAAGGAAGGCAGGCTCTAGCCAGCCAAGAAGGCAAGAGCCCAGGGGAAAGGGGACCTTGTCTGTGAGACCTCTGCTGCTGCTGTCCATGATATGAACCTCACAGCACTCCTCAGGATCAGGAGTGCTGCTTAAGACAGCGTCAGGAAAATTTAAGATTGGGGAAAAGCCTAAACCAGTGTAGAGTGGTGCACTGGGGGAGCCTGGAACCCAGGAACCCTTCACTATTTTGATGAGTCTCTCTCTTTTTTTGGTGTGATCTGTTTATTTTATTGGCCTGAGAGGGTTTTCTCATGTCAAAGGCAAGCCCTTTTAGTGACATCCTTGTCTGGCAGCACCCAAACCCCAGCCCCAGTGCCTCTGAGACTGGGTGGCCCTGTCAGCCCACAAACAATCCCATTTGCTGCCTTTTTTTTTCTCCCCCTCCCTTTGTACAATGAAACTTTGTACGTCAGGAATTAAACTATTGAAAGGAATTTGGATGTGGGAATGCCAAGACATATTGAAATATAGTTATTATAAACAATGGCTTCTTTTTTATTAATAAAGGAGTAGCAAAAGCCACGTTAGGAAAGCTTTTCAAAGAAATGATGTGGCAGATTGAAGGACACACAAGGCCCTGAGAGTGTGGATATGGATCTGTACAGCCAAGGGCTTGGAAATTAATCTACATTAAGCTTCACAGCATTAGTGGTTGTCTTTGTTATCCCACGTGCTCACTGAGTGAAGAAAGGAAGTTTGAGATGGTTTGAGGACGTGATATAAAATAAGAATCAAAACTAAAGCAGGGGATGATCAGTGCTCCCCTGGTGCTCCTCTGGAGCTCAGATGCTGAGCGCCTGGACCCTGAGGAGCCTCTTGGAGGAGAGGGCTGAGCTCCTGTACACTGCAATTAGTCCCAGCCTGGTTTCAGTTGGGTCTGGGTAGGGGTTTAATAGCCTGAGATTTTAAGCCTAATTTAAATTGAATTTAATAGCCTAATAATTTAAGATAACTCACATCTTGGTTTAAAACCAAACCCTTTATGTTTATATACAGCAGGATAAAATTTTCCTGGGGTTTACCAGTTATTTGGGACAATGGTTAAAAATGCATATATATATATTAAACAGCTTTGGGAAAGCATGAGAGCAGCAGTGCCTTGAATTATAAATTCTTATCAGATCATCTCAGAAAAAGAGGGGTACGTGCACAATTGTTTCTTGAAAGGATCCATTGGGCACGATTTATTGTCTCTGCTCCAAAAGAAAACCTTTGAAATGGAAGAACCTGAACACTAGAAAACAAAATGTCTGAGGTTAAGCTGTGGTGAACTTAATCATAAAAATTATATAGATCTTAATTAAAAGGTTTGTAAAGCACTTCATCTTGTCATTCTGTTTACAACTATATGTAATATCCACCGAAAATCTTGTTCTAGTATCAGCTAACAATACTGGAAAGTTTGTTTAGATTATTGTTCTGCTAGATAAGATAAAAGCTGTGATAAGATGGCACAGGGATCAGGCTGCTGCCAGACACGGCCACGGCTTACCCCAGAGGCTGCAGTCTGTGTGCTGGGGGAAGAGGTTTTGCTGCAGTCGTCTGAGTTAGTAGAAGACGTGGATGTTGGAGTCATGGGAACCACAGTAGTACTGTTACCTGCAAGATCAGGAACTGCTGTTAAATACAAATATTTTCCAGCCACGGGGGGAAAAAAAACCTCGCGGCTCAACCGTCTTATCTTTTATATTTACCAGAGCATGCCTTTGACTTATTTATGTTCTTAGGTTTTCGCTTCCTGGTCTGAATTCCTTCTTTTTTCATAGCAAGGGGTCGAGGAACCTGAAAAAAAAATTGCATTTGCACACCCATCACAGAGCTGCATACGTGCTGTCACCTACAAAAATAACATCAAAATACGCCACGACATCAAGGGGCGATGCTGAAAAATGCCTCAATAACAAGGCAACTTTTCCCGTGTCATGGTACCAATTTCAAAAACATTTTGCATTTTATTTGGGCAAAACAATGGGCTGTTTCAAGGGGAGTTTCAGCTCCATAAAGAAAGGAGGGCATGCTTTGCCTTGATGTGAGCTAAAGTCAGTCCACAGATAAACAGCACACTGCTAAGGAAAAAAACATCATATGGCCGTGGGTCATATGAAATTAAATTGCACAGGGTATATCTGATCCCTGATTCCTTATTCCAAACAGGAATATTATCTGCAGTGGCTAATTTTAAAAAACAAGACTGCATATGAGAGGAAAAAATGCTCCGTGGACCAGCTACACAAACCAGATCATCGCCGGTAAGTGTCTTTAGGACAGAAGCTTTAGCCCATAACTGGCTTAGTATTTGTCCTTATAAGCAGTCCTGGCTGTGATACAGCTTTATAGTATTCAAATTTATATTTATAGGGGCAATGTGCTCAAAAAACAGCTTTGTGTCCTGTGTCATCCCAACAATAATCGTTATACAGAAAACATTGGCTTAGGAGACACTTTAATGATAACACAAGCTTGTGGAAAAACAACTGAGGCATATGCTTGATATCATTATAATGTTTAAACCTGTGACATAATTTACTTTTTTTCTTGAAGACTAGACCAAGTTCCAATCACTCCTAATGCCCTTGTTCTTCAGACACTTGTGCCTGCCTGTAACTTAACCCACAGGGGCATAACAGGCTCCAAGCCTCTCCCACACGCTCCATCCCACTCAGGACAGAGCAATTTTCTTCCTCCATTATTGCCTAGCAAAGGCTGAAATGACATTTGAAGCTTTGCTGGCATAGCTATGGCTTGAATCAGATCCAAAGTTTTGCTGGCACATCTCTGTCTGTCAATGAAAAACTGTCTTATTAAAGATCTAGGGTGGTTCATTGGGTTTTTTTTCCCCACTGATGAGCTGGTTTAAATCCTGGTGGCAAGAAGACCTCTGCCACTCATCCAGAGGTGATTTCTGTCTACTAATCTGTAGGAGAGCTACGATGGCAAACACATTAACTTCTCAAAAGCATAACTTGCTAAAATGGCACAACCCTTTTCTAAGGTCACACCTTTTTCAGTCCTTTTACCCATTTTGCTCATCGCTTCCAACTCCAAAGTCCCCAAACTGTGACCCGAGACCAGCAGCATCAACAGAACCATTGCCTTAACTTGAAAGAGGAACCTGATGCCACCCCCCAACGCCGCCGGGTGCCCGCTGGCAGCAGGACCACCCCTTCCCCAAAGGAGCATCCCTCAGCAGAGGGGCCACTTACCCCGTGGAGCTTCATGTAGAGGCCACAGGCGTTGCAGACGGGCTCGCCCTCGGCGTTCCTGCGCCACAGGGTGGTGGTGGTGGTGTGGCAGTTGGCACAGGACAAGCCCAGGCGCCGGGAGGAGGGCTGGAGGAGAGGGTGGGCAAGCAGCCATCAGCAGGCAGGCAGCAGCCAGCGATGGATGCCTTTACAGAAAGCTCTTTAACGCGCACCGGGGACGGCAAGAGGCTTTTGCATAGCATCTATTAGCCACAGCCCGGGATGGAAAGGAGATTATCCTCATTTCAGAGAGTGGAAAGAGGGCATGAAGGGGGACCGTGAGGCTGCAAACCCAAGCAGTCGCAGCAGAGGCAAAATTTGGGAGCTGCTGACACAAGGACCTCGGTTCAGACCATGAGCACTGGCTCTTCCTCCAGCAGGACATTTAGGAAACACCTCCACTACACCTCATCCAGCTGATCCCTCCTCTGCTCCCTCACCAGCCAGTCCAACACCCTCTTCCCTGCACCGTGGGCAAAGAGGCAGCTCTGAACGTCCCATCAACGATCCTGACCCCTCAGAAAAACCATCCTCTTTAATCACCTGCCCTCGGGGACACCACGGCCGGGGAAAACTCTCCTGCCCACCCCCGGGGTGACACGTACCACAACAGCATCTTTGTACAAAGAGCTTTTCATCATCACCCATTTCTTTTTTGCCCTTGCACGAAAAACAACGTTCCTCGAGCGTGTTTTACAGAGCAGAGCTCCCCCTTGGCCAGCAGAGAAGCTGGTGGGTGACAAGGTCCCCACTGCAAACGAGCCATTTATGACACTCTTCTGTGGAGCCTGATGAAGCAACCCTGTGTCAGAAATAACCGTATCACCCAGGGCTTTATGGGTGCAGGCTGTATATCACAAGTGAAGGCAGTCCTCATAAACACGTGAAATGAAGGCAAATGGGTTATAAAAGTCCCTGTAACAAGTGATCTCTTTTACGTTCATCAGGAGCAAAGAATTCCAGCTCTATAATAAATCTGGTCTTCTTCAAAGTATCCCGTTGTCAAAAAAAAAAAAAAATATTAAAAAAATCCCTGCCTAGCCCTGCGTCTGGCAGCTGAACAAGTTTACAGGGAGAAGGCAGTTTTAGAAGATTGCATTAATCTTATTCTGACTATAAAGTCCCACAACTGAAATTACTGACTTAAGGGTACAATGCCCTTCCTCTTGAATCATTTACTGCTGGGCTGTTAGACGTAACTCGGTCACCTTTGATACCGCAGAGCTGCCTGCCACTTGGGAAACTGATAAAAAAGGTTTGGAGAATGAAGAATATTCCAGAGTAATATCCCAGATTCTTCAACTTTATCTGTCTGAGTTCTTTTAGCAGCAAGCCATCACCTTACACCACAGCTCAGAAAAAAAGAAAATCCAGATTAAATACAAATTTTGTCACTTTGAATCCGTAATCTGTTATTAAGTGTACAGGAAAAAAAAGAAAAATAATAATAATTTGAAAAAAAAGAAAAATAATAATAATTTAAAAAAAAAACCAGCCAGATATAATACAGGCTGAAGTACACACATATATCTTTCCATCTTAAAAATCTCACGAAAACACAGTTTTTGACCTTATTAATATGGACACAGAGTCCAAATTTCCCCTCTCAATTCAGGATGAGTTTGGGTAAAAAAAAAAACCTAAAAGCTGGTCTTAACACATACACTTCATTTTTCTTTCTTTGCAAGTGAAACGCTGTCAGACGCTTCACTCTGTTAAATCTTTCTCTTTTTTATATGCAGTCTGGTACAAAACTTCCCATATTTTATGTCACTAGCTTTTGCTCATTCCCGTATCTAAACAAAGAGGGAGGTTTTTGGCATGTTTTGACGCTAAAATTACTTTTCTGCTGGAGGAATTTTATCAGAAACTTCAGGGCAATCTAAACACGTTTAGCATTTTCAAAACATTTTCCCTTCTCACCTACATATTTCCAACTGTATGAACACAGAGTCGGGGTTGATTTATAGTTAGGGCCAGCGTGCTCGGTAGGGATTGTTACCCAGGGTTGTTTCAGAATTATTTTGGAGCTGTCAGGCTGTTATCAGGCTGCAGTTTGACTCTGTTTTAGCCTCCCCAACCCTACCTCTCCTTAAAAAAAAAAAAAATAAAGAAAGAAAAAGAAAGGTGGAAAGGTATTAAAGGCAAAGACAGCTATCAGCTCCTGGAAATCTGGGGTGCCCCAGCCAGCCCAGCCGTGACACTTCGGATGAGCACCAGACCTGGCCTGTCTGCTGCGCTTGTCCCAGCAAGGAGATAACACCTCGTGTCATGAAATTTAGTGGATGACCAGCTAGAAGAAGCACCCCGCTGTAATTAACCCCTGGCTTGAAGTTAAATTAACTCTTAAAGAAAGCTCTTTAGGCAGAGGTGGGTTGGTTCTTGACCACTTACTGTCTGCTCTGGTCATCGCGTGTGTGGGTTTTGTTTTCCCCTGCTCTCATAGGGGCATTAAACCCAAAGGGTTGTGAAATAAAGAAGGGTATGTGTGTTAATGCTGGGAAAACAGGCACGGAGTGAAGCAGTTGGCGTGATTGAAAAGGGGCTTGAGAGGCAGATGGGTTTGATACGCTGCCTCCATACACAAGGGTCCAAACATCAGCCTGGATTGTAGGGGTGTGATTTACTGCGGCTCCGGCGGTAAGGGCCGTTCCCGAGCAGCGTATTCTTTCTCCCTGCTGACCTCCACCCAGATTTGCTGAACATAACGTGCTTGTTAAATTTTCTCCTTGCCTATTCAGTGCCAGCCTGAGTTATAAACAGGGGTTCTGCTTTGTACTATTTATTTCCCCCCCCCCCCCTTAGTTTTAGGAGTATATTTTTAGAAAAATTGCCGCTCATTTCTTAGGAGCAAAACAAAACAAAGGCTATTATCACTGTTTAAACAATTGGTTTTCTTTGAATTATATACAAAACTTGCTTACATTCCCAAGGATCGAGCTCTCAGCAAACAAAGCAAGTCTGAAGAAATTCCTAGCCCTCTGAACAAACACTTTCCAACCTTGATTTTTTTTTTTTCCCCCTGCTGTAAACGTCCAACATCAGCAGTACGAATTTATCCCGAGCTGCCAACGGCCCCTCACCAACGGGGGCCAAAATGCCAAGCCAGCCCCCTCTGGGTGTGCAGCTCGATGGGGGCACAGGGTGATTTTGCCAGCACAGGGCCTGGAGGTGGGTCCGAGGCAGCACCCAAAGGGCTACCAGCCCTGTCAGCCCTCCTGGGGACCCTCTGGAGAAGCTGGGCAGGAGCCCGCTGCGGGTGTGCAGCCAAGGGGATCGTGCCCCTGCC